TTCTTTCTTTCTTTCTTTCTTTCTTCCTTCCTTCCTTCCTTCCTTCCTTCCTTCCTTCCTTCCTTCCTTCCTTCCTTCCTTCCTTTCTTTCTTTCTTTCTTTTTCTCTCTTTCTTCCTTTCTCTCTCTCCCCCTTCCTCCCTTTCTCTCTTTTTCTTTCTTTCCTTCTCTCTCCCCCTCCCTCTCCCCTCTCTCTCTCTCTCTCTCTCTTTCTTTCTTTCTCTCTATTTCTCTTTCTCTCTTTCTCTCTCTCTTCCTTTTATTTATTTTTGACACAGAGTCTCCCTCTGTCACCCAGGCTGGAGTGCAGGGGCATCATCTTGGCTCACTGCAGCCTCTGCCTCCCAGGTGCAAGCGATTCTCCCGCCACAGCCTCCTGAGTAGCTGGGATTACAGGCCCACACCTGGTTAATTTTTTGCCTTTTTAGTAGAGATGGGGTTTCACCATGTTGGCCAAGCTGCTCTCGATCTCTTGACCTCAAGTGATCCATCTGCCTTGGCCTCCCAAAGTGCTGGGATTACAAGTGTGAGCCACCGCATCTGGTCTTTATTTATGTATTTAAAGTGACAGATAAAATTGTATTTGCAGGTACAACATGATGTTTTGAGGTATATACGCCTTGTGGCATGACTGGCTCTAGCTAACTGCCACGTGCTTTGCCTCATATAGGTACCATTGTTGCAAAATGAGAACACTTAACGTCTGCTCTTAGCATTGTTTTGAGAATACAATATATTACTGTTACCACATCACTGCGTGGTCCAATACCTCCCCTTGTGTTGATTGCCCAGGCAGTGATGTGAATGGAACCATCTGGAGTCTTTTTTGATGCCTAGTGAGTGCTTGGGCAGTCCCAGGCTGAGGGTGGGGAGGAGGGAGGCGGTTGTGAGGGGCAGAGCCTCCTGCCTAGGGTTGAGGGATATATTCTGAACTTTCAGGGTGTGCAGAGCTCTAGGGAGGCGGCCTGAGGAGCACAGATGGGAGTGCTCCTCCTTCTCTACCCTCCTCCAACTTGCTCTTGTGGAAGCTGTTAGAGAACTGGGCCCTGGCATCTGATGGCTCTATGATTCTGGCTCCCAGGGCCTCCCCATATTCTCACCCTGGCTGGGAAGTGGGGAGGAAGAAGAGAGAGAGTTTGGAAAGATAGGGTGTCTGTGGGCCTTTACACCAAGAATGATTCATGCATTCCTTTCTTTCCTCCCTTCCTTCTAGCCACCCACCCACCCACCCATCCACTCATTGATCCATCCAGTCATATACTCACTCACCCATCCATCCATCCACCTGCTCACCCATCCACCCAATTATTCACCCATTCATCGATCCATCCACCCATCCACTCATTTATCCATCTAGTTATACACCCACTCACCTATCCATCCATCCACCCACCCACCATCCACTCATCTATCCATCCAGACATACACCCACTCCCCCATCCACCCATCCATCCAGTTATCCATCCATCCATCCATCCATCCATCCATCTATCCATCTAGTCATACACCCACTCACCCATCCATCCATCCACCCACCCACCATCTACTCATCTATCCATCCAGACATACACCCACTCACCCATCCACCCATCCATCCAGTTACTCATCCATCCATTCATCCATCCATCCATCCATCCATCCATCCATCCACCCATCCACTCATCTATCCATCCAGTCATACACTCACTCACCCATCCATCCATCCACCCATCCACTCATCTATCCATCTAGTCATACACCCACTCACCCATCCATCCAATTACTCATCCATCCATCCACCCACCATCCACTCACCTATCCATCCAGTCATACACCAACTCACCCATCCACCCATCCATCCAATTACTCATCCATCTATCCATCCATCCCCCATCCACCCACCCATCCATCCCCCCATCCACCCACCCATCCATCCGCCATCCCACCCACCCACCCATCCATCCCCCACCCACTCACCCACCCATCTACCCATCCATCCAATTATCCGTCCATCCATCCATCCATCCATCCATCCATCCATCCTCCCATCCATCCATCCTCCCATCCATCCATCCATCCATCCATCCATCCGTCCATCCATCCATCCATCTGTCCATCCATCCATCCATCCATCCATCCATTTAACAAAAGGGACCATTTCCTGCCCCCTTTGGGAACACTGCCAGGTTTTCTCTGCCTTGCAGCTGGGTTGAGTTGACATTTGGGAGAAGGAGGCGGGTGCCGCATTTTGCATCAGGGCCTGGACCTGCCTCAGACACAGGTGTTCAGCTCCATGCCACGACCGATGTTGGCCACGGGAGCTGGAGAGCTGGCTTTGTGCCCAGAGCAAGTTGTAGCATCTTGGCATGTTTCTGTCCCCAAAGTCCCCAGTAGGCACAAGAACATTCCACTGTCTCCAGAAATAGCTGCCATTTAAAGCCATAAGGAGACAGGACAACCACCGCTTCCCCTGATCCCAGTGGGGCCTGGAGGCTGTCCTGCATGTGAGATGCCATGTTAAGTTCTTTGTGAGCAGAGCTGCCCACAGCCCTTAGCTCGCTGCAGGAAGCAACCAACATGGCCCCCACCTTAGCAGCGCTAAGGCCGGACCAAGCTCAACGTTTGGTTAACCACCCTGTAGGCTCCTTCTTCGTTTTCAAATGTCACAGAAAATCTTTTCATGCTATCACAAGAATGGAGTCTCTCCTTCCTTCAGCCTCATCTGAGTTGGGGGTGGGGAGAGTTGGACACAAAGGTCGAGGGGAGAGAAACCCTCAAAACAGCCCCCAGAAAGCCAAGGCAGAGGCTGGCATACCACAACGACACGGAGACAGCCCCACGCCCTCATGGGTCCATCCCATCCTCAATCACACTGCGTGGCTGGGCTCTTCTGCATTTCATGGGAGGCTCAGGGAGATGAAGCAACTTGCCTGAGGTCTCACGGGTATAGGAAGGAGAGGAGGGACGGACGGGGCTCAACTCTAGGCTTTCCGGGTACAGAGCCACATGCCTCGCGCCTCCTCCTTGATGGGTTCTCTCTGTACACTGCAGGCTGCCCCTGTGCTCTGCCCAGCCCCTGCTGCAGGAGGGTGCAGAGCTCACTGCTGGCTGGTCTCCATGGCAACAGTGACGAGTCTGCATCAGATGATGGCAGAGCTGCCTTGGAGCGAGAGCTTGGCTGCGATGGCAGGGACTTTGGAGGAGAGGAGATGGAGGAGTGGGGGATGGGGCAGGAGCTGGGGCACAGGATGGACTGCTCTCCCAGCAGCCATTTGGAAGATACTTCCAGTCAGGTCTCAGTCTCAATCAGTCACTGGTTCATGTGTATTTCATGGACATCTACCCTGTGCTGGGCACTGGGCATACAACAGTCTACTGGACCCAGTCTCTCGCCCTCAAGGGGACCGTAGCCCAGGAGAGAGGCAGGCAGATGATCAGGTAATTCCCGCTCATCATGACTGATGGGAAGACAGGGAAAGTGTGGGACACATGAAGCCCCTAAGAGAGGCACCCCACCCGGGCTTCGGGCAGGAAAGTTTTCCAGGAGAGAGGAATATCTACATTCTGACGGATGAAGGGGTCAGCTGGTGAAGAATGGGGGTGGAGATCCAGGTGGGGGGGCAGGGAGAGACAGAGACAGAGACAAAGAGATTAGAGACAGAGAGTGGAGAAAGAGAGAGACAGAGGTAGAGAGAGGAGAGAGAGAATCCCAGCGCTTTGGGAGGCTGAGGTGGGCAGATCCATTGAGGTCAGGAGTTCCAGACCAGCCTGACCAACGTGGCGAAACCCTGTCTCTACTAAAAATACAAAAAATTAGCCAGGTGTGGTGGCGCATGCCTGTAATCCCAGCTACCTGGGAGGCTGAAGAATCACTTGAACCTGGGAGGCGAAGGTCACGGGGGGGGGGGGCGAGAGACAGAGAGAGAGAGAGAGAGAAAGAAGAGAATCAGATGAATGAGACCGACCAGGAGTCCTCAGTGCCCGGAGCTCCAAGGGAGGAAGGCTAGGGAGGGAAGCCATGCTTCTTCTGGGGTCCAGATTAGGAGGAAGGGGGAGGGTCTGCTCCAGGCCAGCCCTGGACGAGGGGATACATTTTGTCCTCACCAGACACTGAATTGGGCATCCTCACCTCCCACCTTACAGGTGAGGAACAGGATCAAGGAGCCACAGCGGGATGGAGGAGGAGATGGACCTGGCCGTGATGCTGGTGGCTGGTTCCATGGCAGACGCCCCTGTGCTGTGACCCTCAGACCAAATCCGGAGGCCCTGGGGTAGAGAGGGTGGGTCTGCCAGGGCATGGCCAGGCTCCCTGTCTCTAGAGACTTCCCCAGGAGAGTTTCGTGACCCTGAGGATGGTAATGCAGTGTAGGCTCTGGAGCTCTGTGCGGGGACCCCTTGGAGAGCCCCGGGGAGAGCTGGTCCCCGCCTGCCTGGGCCTGCCTCTGCTGCTGCGGGGGCCAGCACAAGGGTGGGGTCAGGTCTCCACACATTTCATGCCCAGGTCGTGTCCCCCCTCTAGGGCCAGGGCTGGGCACTCCCCAGGCAGTGACACAGCTGGTGCTGTGGTCTCTCGCCCTTCGAAGGTTGGTTTCAATCCCAAGTGTCACAGCTGGAAACGCCAGCCACCCCCGGACATGCGGTATTGCCAGCCCTTCCTCAGGGCTCTGCTTCTTAGATCCCAACTGTCTGAAGGGGGCACTAGGCTGAGCTCTTCCAAGACGCTGGGCAGGAGCGAGCCTGCTGTGCACATTCCCAGAGGACTCCACATCTAGATAAATGAAGGGCTGGAAGGCTCTTTGGCTCCACACCAGCAAAACAGCTTACGTCACCCTGCCTAAAGAGACAGTCAGGAAATCCCCTTGTTCCTGGGCGAGGAGAAGCTGGCCACAGGGAGTGATGGCACTGAGCAGATACCATCCCTTGCTCCCTCATGGATGGAGCAGGGCCTGCTGACCTTGACAGCGACCAGGGGAGGGGGCCTGGAGGTAAGGGGTGAGCTGCTGAAGATGAGGGAAAGAACTGGAGTTAGGACAGGGTGCAGCGACCACGTCCTGGGACAAGGAGGCATCTGTGACCCGTGTGATCTGCCCGGCAGGCAACACGAGTCATTGTACCCCAGCTGTGCCCGCTACTGAGAGGGGAGCTAAGAGAGGCTGCTCCTGCCTCCCGGTGCTCTCCATCGGACAGGTCTGCTGGGCGGTACCGGCTTTTACTGTCGTTTTTTCTGCTCTTCCTTCTCTCCTCTCCCTCTCCCTCTCTTTTCCAGACCACTCACTCACACACACGTGCACAATCGCACAGACATGCACTGAACATATGTGCACATATATGTATTTGCACACGCAGGCACACCCACACACCTGTGCACTGGCACCCATTTGCACACATGCCCACATACTTGCACACATGTGCACCTGCAGAAATACACCCTTGCAGCCATGTGACACACCTGCACACTTGCACACACCCATTTGCACACAGGCACAGACACGCCCACACCCATTTGCACACGCAGCCACAAACTTGCACAAGCAGCACTTGTACACTGGCACACATCTGTTTGAGCCTATGAAGTGCACACTTACCCATTTGCACACAGCTACACTTGCTCACGCATTTGCACACACACTACACACGAACGTGCAGCACATGTATGCATGTACACACATGCACATTTGCATGCACACACACAGCAGTGGCACACACTTCTCCATCACTCTCCTCAGTCACTGTTCTCCCCTGTGATTCCCACCCTGTGACCACCCCCCACCCCACGCCTGCTTGCTGCCCCTCTGCTGGAAGGGGCCTGGCCTGCTGCCTGCCTCTGTCTGTCTCCACCCGGGCAGGGAGGTGTCACAAGGACTGGCTGACATCTTGCCTCGGGCTGCCCTGGCTGCAGCTGCTGCTGAGCGGAAGTGTCTGAGGCTGAGGCTGAGAGGAAACCACACTCTCGCTCAGGTTCCCCGCAGCTCCAGGCCTCTGGGGGAGGGTGAGGAGATGTGTGGACGTGAGACAGCTTTGAGGGAGGGGAGCATGAAACTTTTCTCGGGGTCTCTTCAGTCTCCAGGACAGAACCAGGCCACTGTGCTCCAGGAGAAGGGAACGCCCCTGTCGCCCCAGGCTGAGCCCACTGGCACCTCGGGCTCCCAGGCCCTTCTCAGCCCACGCCTGTGTCTCTGCCTTGTCAGGCTTAGGCTTCAGGCCTTTTAAGAAGACTTTGGTGGCAAATGGCATCTCAGGGAGCCCTGGCCTGTCTCCCCCAGAGCTTGTGCCTTGGCCCTGGGCAGGGGCCACCACGGGCTGTTGATGTGAATGGCATCCCCTAGCGTTGTGCAGGGTGGGGGCAAGCCCAAGGTGGCAGCCCAGTCCCCTGTCCAAAGCTTTTGCTCCCCAGCCCAGCTCCAGCTCTGTCTCTGTCATTGCAGGTGGGGGGAGAGGCCAGAGCTCAGGGACAGGGGCACTCCTCACAGATTCTCCCTGCCCTAGGTTGAAGGGGAGGGGGAAATGCCCATCCTCCATCTTCCTATCCTGCCAGCGGGGTGGGTGCTACTATTCAGGGGAGGGTCTGGCTGAATAATGACGCTAAGCTTGGGACGCAAGCCTTCTCCTTGCACCTACTGTGTGCCGAGTGCCATCCCAAGTGCATTATGGGTGAGAACTTGTACAGTGATTCAGACGGGCACTGCTATAACCACCCCCAGGTTCTGTCTGGTTCCAGTCCTGGCCACAACGCTAAAGAGCAGCAGACGGATTGGATGTGATTTGATCTGAACCAGGGCAAGCTGACCCAGAGCCCGCTGCCTAACCATTGGGCCAACCAGCCTCTGTCAGGACTCCAGGCTGGCTGGCGTCACACCCTTCTGTCATTTCCCAGGGAAACAAGCTCAAACAGTCTCCCCCATGGGCACTTTGGCCCAGACTCCCTGCCTTTCATGATCGGAACCAAAGAGCAGTGTCCTCTGCTGGAAGGGAGCCCACCAGGCGTCTTCTCCTGCAGGCTGTGTCTTGCATGTGGGTCCTGAGTTTTCTCACTGAGTAAGGGGAGGGGCAGCAGGGTCAGTCCAGCGCAGAGTGGATGGAGGCCGGTTGAGGCTTTCTTGAAACCCTAAGCCCCACTGGCATCCTCAGGGAAGACCTTAGCTCTTCCAGAGGTCAGTGGGACATGGGCTGGAGCCCAAGTAGGAGACAGGGAGCGATGGTGGCCTGAGGTCCTGGGGTGACCAGGCCCTGAGCCTGCCCTGCTCTAGGCCCCCTTTCCCCACCGCCTGGACACCGGGTTCTTGCCCTAAGATGGAAAAGGAGATGCCCCATGGAGAACAATTCTCTAGGTCCCTAGTGCGGCTCCAACAGATGCCGGAGGGACATGGCAGGTGACCCTGGTCTCCAATGGCCCTGATCTGACTTGCTGCCATGAGGCCAACTTCCTACCTTGACCCACCTGCTGCCTCTGCTTTCAAAAGCGCAGAAGGGAGGACCTCCTCCAGCTTCCCGGCCGCCTCCCACCTCCCGCCGCCCGGCAGCGCTGGGCCCCCGGCAGCGAGGTTCAGGAGGGGAAGAACCTCTCGCAGGTGAACAAATTGCTGCACATCAGACACATTCTTTTCAAGCTTCATTTTCTTTCCTTTTCATGATAACTTTCCCACTATTAAAGAGCATTTTTAAAAAGAAGATGAAAAAAGGGAGAGAGAAAAGCGGGATGAAAGTGCGAGTGGGCACCCGGAAGTCCTTTTCAATTGCCTGCCGCTGTGCAGGGTCTGATCTAAGAGCAAGAGATTGGAGGATGCTGGAGGGCGAGGTTTCGTTTCCGTCCTGCCTGTTGGGCCGAGTCCGGGGCAGGGAGGGAGGGATGATGGAGGTGAGCCTGGCTGGGCCCTGCAACCCTGGTGGCTGCCCTCTGCCTGTCACCCTGCCCCTGGCCTGTGCCTGGCACAGAAAGGCCCTCAATAATTTCTTGTTGAATGAATGAAAGAAAGAAATCAATGGATGGAGAGGGCTGGATTCTTTTGTGGGGACCTTCCGAAGCGCCTTCTCTGTGGAGCTCTAGGGCTGAGAAGGAAAGGACAGATTTGGCAAAGGACAGGCAGGGGCTGGGAAAGCATCAGGTGGACCAGGGGCGCTACACCAAGGCCACGCCTCCACTGGTTGTTGTCCCACTGGTGACACCCATGGGTGCAGCCATGGCGGGTGTGCACACTTTCACGTGGGATGGGGGGTGAGCCCGGGGTGGAGTGGGCAACCCCCACCCCTTCCCTGCCCCTCTCCCTACCAGCAGGTACTGTTAAATCTGACTGAAGAAAAAAGTTTGGGAACACACCAAGAAGGTGTGACTATGACGATGTCTCTGAGATGAATCCAAGAAGAAGCAGCGGTGTCATAAAGGGGACCAGGACTCAGGGTCAAGGACTTCAAGTATCATTAAATATAATCAAATATCTAGAAAGTTATTATTGGCTGGGTGCAGTGGCTCATGACTTTAATCCTAGCACTTAGAGAGACCCAGGTAGGAAGATCACTTTAGCCTGGGAGTTTGAGACCAGCATGGGCAACACAGTGAGACCCCACCTCTAAAAAAAAAAAATACCAAGAAATAAAATACAAGAAATAAAAAAAATCATCCGGGCATGGCGGTGCACACCTGCAGTCCCAGCTACGTGGGAGGCTGAAGCAGGAGGATTGTTTGAATCTAGGAGGCCGAGGCTGCAGTGAGCTATGATCATGCCACTGCACTCCAGCCTGGGCGACAAAGACCCTGTCTCATACACACACACAAAAGAAAGTTACCGTTTAATCCAAAGGGTGGAAGCTATCCGGCAGGAAAGAGGAAGGAGCAATATCAGTGAGCCTCGAAAGCTTTGTGCGAAGTGGAGGAAGCCAGATGCAGAGGCCTCTGTGTGTATGAGACAGGGTCTTTGTGTGCATGACATTCTGGAAAAGGCAGAGCTTTAGGGACAGAAAACCCACCAGGGGATGCTTGGGGCCAAGATAGGGGGAGAAGGTTGACTGTAGGGGCGGGAAGGACTTTTTTGTGTCATAGAAACATTCCCTATCTTGATTGGGTGACTGTGTATGTATACATGTTAAAATCCATCAAATGGTACACTTACAATTGGTGAGTTTTATTGCATGTAAATTGTACTTCAATGAAATGAGTATTTAAAAAAGCTGCCGTTCTCTGCAACCCTTCTATGTCCTAGGCATGAGCTGGAAGCATCTAAACATAGGATTTTTGGTACTCACAACAACCCAGGATCTCTTCAGAGAGATGGGCACAGGCTTTGCGAGGTCGCACAGCGAACACAGGCCACACAGCTCGCATCCCAGCAGGGAGAAAAAGGCTGAACTTCCTGCCGGGGCCTGGGGGTCAGTGAGCACGATCAGCCCTGACCATGGTGGCCGTGGAGACTGGCCCTTCAGAGTTCTGTGCTCCCAGAGGCCTGCTGTGTGAGACACGACCATCTGCACACAGGAGCGCAGATCACCTTTCTCTCCAAACTCTTTGGGTATTTGAGTCCCTAGATTTTTCTCAGTCAGAGTTGGCTTAGGCCTGGTCCCCCAGAAATGCCCTCAGAGCCCCAGGCAGGGACCCCAGCTGCTTGTTCCGGAGGAGGAAGTCCTTGGGCTTGCCCACATCCTTCTCCCGTCCTCTCACACACTCTCTCTCTCTGTCTCTGGATATCAGCATATTTGTCACACTTACTTCATTTCTCCTCCAGCTTGGTGACACAAGGTGAGCTGAAGGAGAGCTGCTTGGGTGAGGATTATGAAGGCACGGGTGCCATGGAAACCACTCCTAAGGCCCCCCGAAAGCTGCAGCCGTCAGGAGGGGCTGCTCCGCCGCCATTGGTCGGCCACGTGGACCCTCTCCCTAATGCGATGCCTGACTTTTGTTTATTTTACTCTGTTTTGCATCTCATGCCTGCTCTGGGCTTCTCTTGGCTTCCTCACAGTCCTGGTGCAGGATGCTGCCTGCAGGTCAGTAGGGTAAAGGTGCTAATGTTTTTTGTTTGTCTCTTTGAACTTCTGAACTTTTGGGCTCATTTTCTGGTGCTCTCTCCTCCGTGCCAGAAGGCAACACTGATTTTAAGCCACAAATGTTGGAGGCAAAAAATGGGATTATGATAGACAGAGAGGGAAGCCAGCTCCTCTAGCAGGTCCTGTGGAAATGGCACCTGATTTTGGTCACAGAAGCGGTCCCCAACTTTCCCTGCAAATCAGGAAGCCCTCAAAGGGGCCGAAGGCAGGTTCTTTAGCACGATGTCAATCCGTGCAGGATGCAAGAGTTTCCCGAGGCTGCCAGGGAGATTCAAAGCCCTGTGGCTGCCTTGATCTTCCTAAGCTTGCTTTTAGAGAAGTATGCTGTTGAAGCTTCGGGAGCCCGCCAGCTTCTGGTTGGGCCGAAACCTCCTCCTCCCTTTGAATAGGAATCAGAAGAATCTCTTACATTAGCCTTTGCCTCGATAGTTTTTATATCCTTCATTTTATTTCTTTCCAGCAATGACCCTGAGAAATTGGCAGGCAAAGTGCCATTAGCCTCGCATTGGAGAGGGGAAATTGAGACCATATATGAGTGTGTGTGTGTGTGTGTGTGTGTGTGTGTGTGTGTGTGCGTACGTGCGTGATCGTCTGTTTATTGGTGTGGGACGGTGTGTGGCTGGCTCTGTCACCCAGGCTGGAGTGCAGTGGCATGACCTCAGCTCACTGAAGTCACCACCTTTCGGGTTCAAGTGATTCTCATGCCTCAGCCTTCTGAGTAGCTGGGATTACAGGCATGTACCACCAAACCTGGCCAATTTTTGTATTTTTAGTAGAGATGGGGTGTCACCATGTTGGCAAGGCTGGACTTGAACTCCTCACCTCCAAGTGATCCTCCCACCTTGGCCTCCCAAAGTGCTGGGATTACAGGCGTGAGCCACAGCACCCGGCTGAGACCCAAGAATTTAAGTAGCAGGGCTGGGACTGGGGCCTGAAGCTGCTGCTTCTTCCCTAAGGCTCTGAGGCTGCTTGATCACAGGGTTGAGATCTTTGATGAAGCCACTGGCTGAAGCTGTGGGTGGGCTTTTCTTGGTAGGAAAGTTGCCTGAGACCTGGCAAAGATGAGACCTTTTAAGTAGTGAAGGGAAATGAGCAGTCCTTCGAAGGTCAAGTTCCTCAATGAAGCCCATCTAAACACTGTCTCTCCTGCCTGCACACATGCCTATGTGCACACAATACACACACACACATACTCATTCTTGCTTTATCCTTGCTTAAAGTTGTTCTGGCGGAATCTTTGATGACATTTTTTTTTGGCTTGAGGAAACCAACCATTTTGTTATCTCATGGTTTTATGAGTTGACTGGGCTCAGCTGGGAGGTTCTTCTGGATGCAGCTGCAGTCATGAACAAACATTACTAGGTCAGAGTCTGGGCTGGCCGTTCCACCAGGGCTGTTGACTGGAGAGGCTACACACACCCTAGGCTGGGATTCAGGTGCCTGGGTCTGAGAGGGAGGGTCCCAAGACAGCCCATTTTAAGAAAAGGAAATGAAATGTACCAGTCCTCAAGACTAGACTCAGAATTGGCATGATGCCACTTCTGCTGTGTTCTTTTGGTTGCCTGATGACATCTTAAGTACCACGTCCTGTGGACCATTTGGGGTCTGAATTGAGCTCTCTGGCCCCATGACGTAGCTGACCTGCCCCTTATTGAAGCACTGTCCTCCCAGCTTCACTGCATTCCTCTGTCCTGGTCTCGTTTCCCTCTGCATTCCTGCCACAGTTTGATCATTTCTCTTCCAGGTTTTCTCTTCCTTGTTTCATTCTTGGCCTTTTCCTCTCTCTACTTCACATACTGTCCCAGAGACCCCACCCAAGCCCATGATGCGATGCCCTATCTGTGCTGAGGAACTCCAAGTCTGCCACTCCAGCCCACACTGAGAGCCAGCCACGGGCATCCTACTCTCCCAGACATTCCTGCCCAGAGCCAGATTCAGGAATTCCAAAGTGCCCCTTGCTCAACCCATCCAGAGTGGAACTTGCCATCCTTCTCTCAAACTTGTCTCTCTTTTCGAGGTCCCCAACTTGGTCCCCCAGACTTCTGACCCCAACCAGCCCCTCCACCATGTTCCTGGATGACAGAACAGGCACTGCTTGGATCATCAGAAAAAATAACTGGAAGTGATTTAGGAAAATCAAAAGGAATGCCCACTGCTCTAGGATTTTCCTCACTTTAGAAGGAAAGCAGATAGACGAGATCTGGGAGCAGCCCCAGCTTAATTGAAAAGCCGCATTTGTACAGGCTGGAGGAGCCTCAGGAATGGCAAACAGCTTCTCCTCGCTCAAAGGAATTTTCTGGAAACCATAATGGCTGCCCTTGCTAACCACAGGCTGGTCTTTCTGGCAGAATTAGCACGAGTATGTGGTCAGAGTGGCCAGGCTGGAGCCAGGATGTTTCTGCAGCCTGAGCTTCCTCAGTGCCCAAAAGTGGGGGCTGGGATTCGGGGAGCATGTGGATGCCCCAAGGAGCTGGGGGTCACATGGGAACCTGGAGATTGGTGAAGTGCAATTTGGCTTGGATGGGGATTAGGGCCCTCCCTCCGTCCCCTCTCCCTCCTCTCTTCCTCCCCTCTCCCAGTGCCCTCCCCTCTCCCCACACCCTTCCCTCTCCGTGCACCCTTCCTCTCTCTGCTCAGCAGCTCTCTCTTTCCCAGGAGCAAGGGGCACAAGAGTAAGCAGGACAGCTGGTGTGTGCCGAGTTCCCACTCTGTGCTAGGCATTTTTGCACCATCTATCATATCACACTCACCCCAAGGGCGGGTTCCACCATCATCTCCATTCTTCGTAAGAGGAAACAGACTCAGGGTGGTTCAGAAGTTGCCCAAAGTCACAAAGAGGAGATGCTGGGGTTCAGCCCAGCTCTGTCTAACTCCACAACCAGCCTCCGGGTGCTGCTTGTCTTGCACTGAGGGTCTACACTCTGCTGCGGGGAGGTGGGGCAGTGCAGAAACCCGGCCTCTGAAGGGGTGTAGACATACCGGGTCCAGGCAGCTGCTGGGTACTGTAGGGACGGGGCTGTCCTCTCCCAGTGTGGCTGAGCCGGGCCTCCCCTAACACCTTGCCCCCGCCTCCTATGCAACAGGACACTGCTTCACTGTGGAGGCCACGGAGGGACAGGAAAGAAGGATACAGGCTCTGATATGTGTTTAGTGATGGTATGGGGGTTGGGGGCGGCTGTCCCTCTGTGGGGACCAGGGAGGGTTTCAGAGGCAGGTCGATTCTTTCTGGGCATGCCACCTGCATTTAAGGGACAGCCACCAGACAGGTGACCTACTGGGCTAGACCCTTCCCTGGATATCAAAACAGGTGTAAGCTTCAGTCCAACCATGGGGCTGGAGAGGGATGGGGGAAGCAGGCCCCTCAAGAGGAGAACATGTTATTTGAACATGGGCTTTGTGGGCTTTGCAGGCTTCGTCTGCAAGGCTTGGGCAGGGCAAGGGGCACAGAGGCCTTGAAGAGGACCCCAGTTTTGGGTTTGAGCAGAGTGGAGGGGCCACTGGTGCAAGAAGGGGCTACTTCGAGTGGAGTCAGCCAGCTGATGCGGA